AAAAGAAGAGGCTCAAAGGAGCCTCACGAGGTCAAAATTAAATACTAAAAAGAGAAATCTGAGAAGTTTAGATATGCCTTTGCTTTTCAAAAATATCCTGCTGCTTGAATTACAGAGTATATTACATACCTGGTCCATATCTAACGTTGTTTCTATCATTTCCTGAAACTTGGAGAAATCAGAACGAAGATCAATAAAAGGAGTCACAAAAACTGCCAACAACAATGGCTGATGTTTTCCTAAAAGAAATAAAAAAAATGTACATATAAAAAAGTCCTTATTTTTAAAAACAGACTACAGATCATAACACTTTGACTGGATAATGAATATCATTTAATCCAAACGCAGAAATTGTGCATCAGGTTTCCAAAGTTACTATTTACCCAGGTATTCCAAGGTGTTTAGTCTTTATTTTTTACAGAAAGGCGAGATGATCTGGCACCCAAAGCCCCCTGCTAACAGAACACTGTCTCTCCCATCTGTCTCCCTCATGAGGCGTACTAGAGATGTAGAGATGTGACATTAATTACAACTAAACTACATTTCTTTGGATTTTTAATTTATTTTTTATTAAATTCTTAAAAAAAAAACAGATTATATTTATTTATTTTTAGAGAGAGGGGAAGGGAGGGAGAAAAAGAGGGAGAGAAACATCAATGCAAGAGAGAAACACTGACTGGTTGCCTCTCATTGGCACCCGACCCAGGGACCAAATTCACAACGCAGGCCTGTGCCCTGACCAGAATCAAACAGGGAACCTTGTTTGCAGAGGGAGGCCCAACCAATTGAGCCACACTAGTCAGGGCTTTTTGTAGATTTAATAACTCCAAAGTCATTAAAATTAAATACCTCTAATATATCTTATATCCCTAATTTCCACTAATAATACTAGTGTTCCAACTAAGAGAGATAAATCAAGTCAAGTATTCACACTGGAACTTTGCTTCCTACTATTTAAGAGTACACGCTGGGGGATCATGTGAGGAGTAAGTGAAGTAATGAAGTCTACAGCATGAAGAGCATGAGTCAAGATCCAGGTGTCAGCCGTGCAGTTCAGTTGGTTGGGCATCCCCGTGCAGAGCGAAGGGCGGCTGGTTTGATTCCGGTCAGGGCACATGGGTTGTGGGTTTGGTCCCTGGTTGTGGTGCATGTGAGAGGCAGCCCGTTGATGAAGTTTCTCTCCCTTCCTTCCTCCTTCCCTTCCCCTCTCTCTAAAAAAAAATAAATCTTTAAAAAATCAAAAAGATCAAGATGTCAATCCCAGCTCTGCCACCTACTGGCTTTTGTGATCTGAAACATATTTCTGAGCTCCCTTTCCCTTGTCCATTTCAGTGGGAATAGTAACAATAGCTACACAGAAGATGAATAAATGAGATAACTACACACAACACTTAGTAAAGTGCTTCACACTTAAGAGAAGCCCACCAGTTACCACGTATTATCATCATTATCCCACAAGCATTCTTGATCTGCAATAAATTCCCTTATGAGAATTCTGCAAGTGACCGCTAGCACTCTGCATTTCACTCCCAAGCAATAGTTTCCAACCTCCTCCAGGAATATGAGTAGCTCCTGAATGAGAAAATAAAAAACTACTCTGAAGTCAACAAAACTGTTGTAAGAATTCGTTTTATTATTAATCACGACAGCACCTACATATAGTGAGAAAATAGTACATATGTGTGAAACAATTCCACAAACAACACTTTGCCCACATAATGTCTGTGCTACTATGCCTGGTTCTTTATTCTGAATTAGCTCCCATACTACTGGTAAATAGGGGAATGATGGCAGCAAAACAGGTAGCACTGGTTCATGAATTATTTTTTCCCCAGTCCACTGTTTTGAAGTGATCAAGAGCAAATTCACACACAACTGAAGGGTAAGCTTAGCTACATATGAAGACCTCAGAGTAGCTGGATTGATGGCCATTGCACTTCCCGGTATGTTGAAGTGCAGGGAAGCTGGGTACAGATAAAGGGTGCAAAAACATTTTCAAGTGTATAATTATTTTTCACTAAATTCTACACCTTAGTTCAGATCTTTAACTTTGATCAAACTGACCTTTATTAGAGACAAATGCCTTCAAAGGGCATCTCAAAAGATGAAACAAGAGTCCCAGACCTTAGGGTTGCAAAAACAGTATCTGATGCTGGTGCTGGGTAAAAATGCAATGGAGACTTATGCAGGTTGCTGTTTTCTTAGTTTGTTAATGCTTTTGTTAGTGATTTTTAAAAAAGATTTTATTTATTTTTAGAGCGGAGAAGGGACGGAGAAAGGGAGGGAGAGAAACATCAATGCTGGCTACCCCTTGTGCATCCCCTACTGGGGACCTGGCCCACAACCCTGGCGTGTGCCCTGACTGGCAATCAAACTAGTGACCCTTTGGTTCGCAGGCTGGCACCCAATCCACTGAGCCACACCAGCCAAAGCTTGTTAGTGATTTCTAAAAAATATTTTATTTTTTAGCCCTGGCTGGCATAGCTCAGTGGATTGATCGCAGACTGCAAATCAGAGCATCGCAGGTTCGATTCCCGGTCACTGCACATGCCTGGTTTGCAGGCCACGGCCCCCAGCAACCACACATTGGTGTTTCTCTCTCTCTCTCTCTCTCTCTCTCTCTCTCTCTCTCTCTCTCTCTCCCTCTCTCCCCCTCTCGCCCCTTCCCTCTCTAAAATTAAATAAATAAAATATTTAAAAAATATTTTATTTTTTAGAGAGGGGAAGGGAGGGAGAATGAGGGAGAGAAACATCCATTGGTTGCCTCTTGCACACCCCCAACCAGGGACCTGGCTTGCAACCCAGACATGTGCCCTGACCAGAACTGAACTGGCAACCTTTCAGTTCTCAGAATGATGCCCAAACCACTGAGCCACACCAGCCAGGCTTGTTAGTGATTGATTTAAAAATTTCATATATTTTTCCCTGGCTGGTGAAGCTCAGTGGATTGAGCGCAGGCTGAGAACTAAGGGTTGCTGATTTGATTCCCAGTCAGGGCACATGCCTGGGTTGCAGGCCAGGCATGTTCCCTAGTGGGGGCCACGTGAGAGGCAACCACACATGATGTTTCTCTTCCTCTCTTTCTCCTTCCCCTCCCCTCTCTCTAAAATAAATACATAAATAATTTTTTTAAATTAAAAAAAAAATTCATGTATTTTGAGGTCTACCTTAACCTGATTTTTATAAGCTCTGTTATGTTTCTATCACAACTTTAATGGTAAGGTTTTGCAAGAATACACACAAGATATTATTACAACCTACCTGTATAAACTTTAGAACTTGTTACCCTCAATGTGCCTTCTAGCCCCTCAGACACAACGGCCCACCTTGCTGCAGCTCTTCTCATATTCCATAAAGCCCCTTCTGCATTAACCTGCTCCTTACACCAAAAACTTTCACTAGCATCTTAAATTCTTTCCCCTATTTGTAATTTATACTGAGCCCCAGCTGCCAATTACCTACGTGATTTTTGTCAATTGATTATGGTTTTTTTAATGAAAAACAACAGAGTTACTGTTGTTTTCCCTTTCCTTTTTTTACAACAGCTTTACATTTTGTCTGACATCCTGGCAAGGCTGCAGAGGTAGCAGCTGCTCTCTGACCTTCACTATGCAGCCCAAGGACAACGAGAAGAAAGATGTCAGAAAGATGGTTAAGGGAGGCAGTCCCAGTGAATAAATCTGGGGGCAAGGCCAAAAAAGAAAAAGAGGTCCAAAGGCAAAGTTCAGAACAAGTTTAATAATCTTGTCTTATTTGACAAAGCAACATATGACAAACTGTAAGGATGTTCCCAACTATAAGCTTATAACCCCAGCTCTTGTCCCCGAGAGACTCAAGATCTGTGGTTCCTTCAGAATTCCTCAGTATAGGAATTATTAAACTACTTTCACAAGCACAAGTAATTTTATATCAGAAACACCAAAGGTGGAGATGCCCCAGCTGTTAGCAAAGATGCATGAACAACAGATCCCACCAGCTGTACCTTTTGAAAAATAAAACTTTATTAAATTTAGAAAAATGGCTTTATGGGCTATGATTCATAGCAAAACAACTATCCATTTTAAAGTGTACAATTCAGTGATGTGAAATACATACAGATCTGTGCAACCATTGCCACAATCTATTTTATTAGGACACTGTAATCGCTCCTAAAAGAAACAAGGGACCCTGTACCCATAAGTAGTGACTTTCCATTTCCCTCCACCTCTTGCCCCTCCTCTAAGCCTAGGCAACCACTAATCTATTTTGTAGATCTAAAGATTTGCCTTTTCTAGACATTTTCCATAAATGGATCATGTGATATTGTGACAGCCTTCTTTCACTCTGTATGTTTTCAAGGTTCATTCATGCATATTGTACCACCATGTATCGGCACTTCATTTCTTTTTATTGCAAATAATGTTCCACTGCATAGGCATACCATTTTATTTATCCATTCATCAACCGAGGGACACCAACTGGGTTTTGGTAAAGCTCCATTCTGCAATAGTCATTTCTATCTAGAAAGCCCTACACAATCTATCTCAGGGTCTTAACTCAAGGACCACAGACCTTTGAATTCAGAATAGTTGATAAATGAAATCTAGCACTTCCACCATTACTAACAAAGGCAAAAATCCACAGTCAGCACCTGTGTCTTTGTCAGCAATAAAAATCCCAGATAGACTGGCTGGTGTAACTCATTGGACTGAGTGCGGGCCTGCAAATCAGAAGGTTGCAGGTTCGATTCCCATTCAGGGCACATGCCTGGGTTGCGGACCAGGTCGCCAGTAGGAGGCGCTTGAGAGGCAACTACACATTGATGTTTCTCTCCCTTTCTTTCTCCTTTCCTTCCCCTCTCTCTTAAAAAAAAAAAACACAACTCAGATAAACTTTAATATCATGTTATAGTTTTGGGAGATAACAAGTATCATTTAAACTCATTATCAGTTCAAAACTGAAGTTAGTAGAACTTCATTCAGATCACGTTATTAAATGCATTAATAAAAAACACATTTATCAGTGGCCCTTATTGAAGCTGCTGCTGCTTCCACATAGCTGCTGCAGTCAAAAAGGGGCCCAGAGTGACAGTTTTCCTTGACAGTCACCATTCTGTTTGCTGTAATTGATCTGCAACATTTTTTTTGGGGGGGGGGGAATTTTTTTTAAAACATTTATCAAGCCCTGGCTGGCGTAGCTCAGTGGATTGAGCACAGGCTGCGAACCAAAATATCGCAGGTTTGATTCCCAGCCAGAGCACGTGCCAGGGTTGCAAGCCACGGCCCCCAGCAACCGCACATTGATGTTTCTTTCTCTCTCCCTCTTTCTCCCTCCCTTCCCTCTCTAAAAATAAATAAAAATACATCTTAAAAAAATGTATCAAATAATTTGTTTTGTAAAATGTACTTCAATATAATTGGTTTCCTTTCCAACTCTACGTTTCATTTTATGCACTTAGAAACACCATTCTGGAGGGGTGTGGTAAAAAGTAATTTTTGAAAAAAGAAAACATTCTGAGAAGGGGTTCACAGGCCTCATTAGACACCTAAAGGGCCCACAACACAAAAAGGTTAAAAACCTCATACAGGCCTTCCCTCTTTGGCCCCAACTTCTATCAACATCTCCCTCATTCTCTGTGCTTGACCACCCTAGCTCTGTTTCAGTCCTTCATGTCAAGTCAAGTCTGCGTGTCAGCCTTAGGCACTTGCATTAACTGGGCCCACTAGCCTCCCCACAGATCTTTTTTTTTTTAGATTTTATTTATTTTTAGAGAGGGAAGGGAGGGAGAAAGAGAGAGAAACATCAATGTGCAGTTGCTGGGGGTCATGGCCTGCAACCCAGGCATGTGCCCTGACTGAGGATCGAACCTGCAATGCTTTGGTTCGCAGCCCGCACTCAATCCACCGAGCTACACCAGCCAGGGCTCCCACAGATCTTAACACCAGGCTTCTTCTCATCATCCAAGTTTCAACTTAGACAACTGTTCCTGAGAGAGAAAACCCTTGACCCCCCAGACCTCGTGTCTTCCTGGCCTCCAGCCAAGTCACTAGATCACATCAGTACATTCCACTTTCTTTACTGTACTTATTACTACCTGAAATTCTTGCTCATTTGTTTGTTCTTTTTATCTCTCTATCCTTCCACTATTATAAAACCTCCATAAGAATAGGGACCTCATAAGTTTCTGTGACTGTACCTCCTAGAACAATGACACAGAGCAGGCAATCAATAACTATTTGTTGAATGAATGACTTCATGAGGGAAGGGAGCGAGGCACTGATGGAGCAATCAATCACTGGTCATTAATTAGCTTTGATACGCACAACACTCATCCAGCAGGGACTCCAAAGATCACCCAGGAAGTAACTGTTAGCTTCTTAAAAGCATTAAAATGTGAAATCCCAAGTAATCTAGTCATTACATTAATTTTTGTAATTAGTACATAGTAAAAACTCCGGCTTCACTGTCAGCCCCTAGATTCATTTATAACTCTTGAAGACTTCCCTTTTTAGGAACGGTGGTGTGCCTCGCCAACGCTGCAATGTCTAAGTCCGTAAGTGTTAAGCACTTACATTTCTACAACAACCTAAAGCATAATTACCCACTGTTAAACATTTCATCATCATTTACTATGATACAAATTATAACAAATTTCTGGATTAACTGAAAGCCCGTGAGTCTATAAGTAAATGGCCATTAAAATACACTCCTGGAATGCTGCCCAGCTCAGCTTCTAAGTCCAAACCTTAAGTGTATCATTAGTGTATCAACACTCATTCTGGGACTTTTATTTTCCTCCATCTTATATATGTTCACGCTTTATTTACAGATGGAGGGAAATACTAAGGAGAACATCTTTAGTAAATTTAGAAAGATTAATTTGCAAATGGTAAAACACCAATAAAAATTACTATGGCATATGCTTTACCAAAAAATAAAATGTTGCACTTTCTTGATATACCACTTCAGAATATTCTTTTTACTTCTATAACTTACCTATCAAAATTATATTTTCGGAAGATATAATGTACACAGCATGGTGACTAGCTAATAATACTGTATGGTCTAACCTCTGGCTTAGACAGAGGTGTAGATAGACACACTTTGCCTCCTCGCACAACCAAAAGAAGGACAACAACAAATTTAAAAACAAAAAATAACCAGAACTTCCAGAAAATTGAACTGTATGGAAGTCTAGCAGCCAAGGAGTTAAAGAAGAAACATTCATTCAGACCTGTAGGAGGGGCAGAGACATGCAGTGGCACTTGGGACGGTTGGAGGTCCCCAGCAGCCAAGGTGGCAGCTGGTGGACTGAGTGGTCCCGCATTTGCATGGAAAAACTGGGAGGAACAACTAGGGAGTGAGACAGACTACTCCCCCCACTCAAAAAGAAAGATAGACTTTCTGGGAAAAGAAAGGCTCAAAACCTCTGGCTGTAAAAACCCGTGGGGGTTGTGGCGGCAGAAGAAACTCCCAGCCTCACAGGAGAGTTTGTTGGAGAGACCACAGGGTCCTAGAATGTACAAAAACCCACCCACCTGGGAATCAGCACCAGAAGTGCCCAATTTGCTTGTGGGTAGCAGATGAAGTACTGAAAGTCAGCCTAGAGCTGAGCAAGCTGCATTGTTCTCCTTCAGATCCCTCCCCCACATACAGCACCACAACACAGTGATGTGGGTTGCCCAGTTCTGGCGAATATCTAAGGTCTTGCCCGTTACAATGTAATAGGTGGGCTGAGACAAAAAAAATATGGCTCGAATGAAAGAACAGATCAAAGCTCCAAAAACAGAACTAAGCAAAGAAGAGATAGCCAACCCATCAGATGCAGAATTCAAAACACTGGTAATCAGGATGCTCAAAGAAATGGTTGAGTATGATCACAAAACAGAGTAAAAAGTGAAAGCTATGCAAAATGAAATGAAGAGAAATGTACAGGGAACCATCAGTGAAGTGAAGGAAACTGGGACTCAAAACAATGATTTGGACCAGAAGGAAGAAATAAACATTCAACCAGAACAGAATAAAGAAACAAAAATTCAAAAAAAAAAAAAAAAAGAGAGAGAGAGAGAGAGAGGCTTAGGAACCTCTCGGACAACTTTAAACATTCCAACATCCAAATCGTAGGGGTGCTGGAAGAAAAGGAAGAGCAAGAAATTGAAAATTTATTTGAAAACATAATGAAGGAGAACTTTCCCAATCTGACAAAGGAAACAGACTTCTAAAAGTTCAGGAAGCTCAGAGAGTCCCCAAAAAGTTGGACCCAAGGAAACACACACCAAAGCACATTGTAATTATATTACCCAAAATTAAAGTGAAGGACAGAATCTTAAAAGGAGCAAGAGAAAAGGAGACAGTTACCTACAATGGAGTTCCCACAGACTATTAACTGATTTCTCAAAAATAAGTTTACAGGCAAGAAGGGGCTGGAATGAAGTATTTGAAGTCATGAAAGGAAAGGACCTACATCCAAGATTACTCTATCCAGCAAAGCTATCATTTACAATGGAAGGGCAGATAAAGTGCTCCCCAGATAAGGTCAAGTTAAAGGAGTTCACCATCACCCAGCCCTTATTATAAGAAATGTTAAAGGGACTTATCTAAGAAAAAGATGATGATCAGCCCTGGCTGGCGTAGCTCAGTGGATTGAGCGTGGGCTGCGAACCCAAGTGTCGCAGGTTCGATTCCCAGTCAGGGCACATGCCTGGGTTGCAGGCCATGACCCCCAGAGCAACCGCACATTGATGTTTCTCTCTCTCTCCCTCTCTCTCCCTTTCCTCTCTCTAAAAAAAATAAATAAATAAAAATCTTATTAAAAAAAGAAAGAAAAAGATGATGATCAAAACTATGAACAGTAAAATGACAACTCACAAGTATCAACAACTGAACCTAAAAACACAAAAACAAACTAAGCAAACAACTAGAACAGGATCACAGAAATGGAGATCACATAGAGGGTTAACGGGGGGAGGGGGAAGAATGGAGAAAAAGGTACAGGGAATAAGAAGCTTAAATGGTAGGTACAAAATAGACAGGGGGAGGTTGAGAGCAGTATAGGAAATGGAGAAGCCAAAGAACTTATATGTACAACCCATGGACATGAACTAAGGGGGGGGCAGGTGGAAATGCTGGGGCAGGGGGTGTAGGATGTAGGGGAATAAAAGGGAGAAAAAGAATAGGACAACTGTAATAGCATAATCAATAAAATATACTAAAAGAAATAAAAATAAAAAGTATATTAGAAAAAAAAAGATAACTATGAGTTCATTGAGAAGTATGCACAGACCAGGGGAGAAAAAATATCAAATGTGAGGTATTTAAAAAGTATATTAAACAGCAACACATGATTCATTTGATATGAGGAGAAGAATTAGGTACCTCAGTATGATAGCTGTTACAGTAAAATTCTCCAATAAAATAATCTGCATATTTAAGAGTTGTTTTAATCATTATCAGGAATTTGTGCCCTGACTGGTATGGCTCAGTGGACTGTGTGCTGGCTTGTGAACCAAAGGGTTGCTGGTTCAACTCCCAGTCAGGGCACATGCCTGGGTTGCAGGCCAGGTCCCCAGTAGGGAGTCTGTGAGAGGCAACCACACATTGATGTTTCTTTCCTTCTCTTCCTCCCTTCCCCTCTCTCTAAAAATAAATTAATAGAGTATTTTTTTAAAAGAAAAAATTTGCCTAATTGCATACCATTATCTTAGGTTTTACATCAACTTGTTAACTTTAAGAGAAATGAGGAATAATGGAGGGCAAGTGTATTTCTCAAATAGCTCTCTCTGACAGGAGAAAGACGATGTAGAGTAAAGCTTTTACCAGTCCATGTAAATGGACTTTCTGCACTGTTGCTGCCCTCTGCTGTCTCTGAAGGTTTTATATTTCCTTCAGGAATAACATTAAGATATCACTAAATCTAGAGTTAACCAAATACCAAAAATATCACACGATATCAGGAGAACAAACACAATTTTTGTCAATAAACTAATATATTTTTAAAACTTTTAAGTCATAACTTCGCTTTTCAAAGGAGCACATTTGGTTTATTCTCTTTATAAATTAGCCCTACTTTTGGCTTTCTCTATGAAATCAGTAGGATAATTATGGAGCTATGGTGAATGCTGCAAAATTCCATTCTGATGGTTTTTTTTAAGAACTCAAGACAG